TTCTGGTCTCTAGTGTTTGCCTAAGACTCTTTCTGTCTTGATCTGCTCTGTGGCTTAGAGCTTGATTCCTGATCTCTAGTATTTCCCTAAAACTCTTCTTCTCTTCATCTGCTCAGTGGCTTAATAAAGCTTGATCTCTGATCTCTGCTCAGTGGCATTTCAAATCGTTTAGGATCTCACTCAAGATGAACTCGCAAGAAGACGCCCAGAGGGATAACTCGCGCGATCTCTATGTAGTCTAGACCTTGATAGGGAGGGGTGAGTCATATGGTATTAATGTGATCTATCTGAAGCGCGTGTCCTCTATCATGTCGGAAGAGGATCCGTAGGGATATCCGTCATCTTTTTGACCAGGGAACTTCCTCAGACGGTTCTTCTCAAATTCATCCTGCATCTGGTCGTAGAGGTAAGAATAGAAACTCCAGACCTCCCACTTCTCCACTTCTGTAGGAGGTGGCTCTAAGAATTCTTCTGTTCGCGCCACAGTAAAGCTACTCTTGATGCTTTCCTCAACTAAGAGGTCAAATGCGGTAAAGTTTCGATGCCGCCAAACTAGCTTCGCAAGAGATTCACTGGGGATGTCGTGAACCTCGTTCCACGGTTTCTCGAGCTCTTCCGCACGCTCGCGCTGACTTAGGAAGAACGCCTCCCAGGACTCCAGCTGCTCCTTTTTTGCCCAGCTTTTCTCTTCCTGTTGGTGCGTCTCTGCTGAGGAGCGAGAGGGCGCCTCGCTATGTGTGGCAAGAGACCAGTTATCCGAGTCGCGCCGGGAGTGGCGCAGCGTCATGATGTATTCTTGAGACTATCCGTCAGGAAAGCTGGCTAGATCCGACGAGGGCACTATGGGGCCTACGCTAGTCTATAGGTCGAGAATATTTGCGGAATCTACATACGAAAAAGGTGCCAAATTAGCTGGCCACTCACGACGCGGAGAGAGATTCAATCTGTACATATGGCCTGAGCGGCTTCAACATGTCGCACGTGATGAGAAAACGGAGCACCGACGGTCTGTGCACATTTGCTGATTGGTATTGAGAGACATCGGGAGTGTTCCTGCCATGGCAGTCGTCATCATATTAGCGGCGGCGCTGTCTATCTTTTATTACGTATACTCGTCGATAGTTTTGGTTTGAAGGTGTTATTATGTTGAAGCACCAACCGTGAGAAGTAGGCTCACTCTCAGCGCGCTGAGTTTTTCTGTAGTCGTGTACTCGTCATACATATGGGAAGACGTAACATAGGTAGTGACTGATGTGCTAAATTCGAATGGATATGATGTCTACGTATACTGCTGGCAATTGCGGGGGTGAATGATATCGAAACAACTGTAATCAAGGAGACTGGATGTCCCACGGATAGCACTCGCGTGCGGTTATTACATCCATGGAGCTGATGACTTCGCCCACCCCTGGTTCCAGCCTTTATAGCCATCAAGGAGCCAGTTCTTCTCGTCGTTAGCTGCAGCAACAACAGCGCTGCACCAACACGGCAGGCATATGGCGTTCTGTCCGAGCTTGACTTTTTTCTCAAAGGCAATCATTAGCGCGAAAAAGTAACTCAGGAAGCGTTCTGCAACCAGATCAGCCTGGTAATAAATGATGAACAAGACTACAGACGGCGCCTGCAGTATAGAAAATGAATCAGCTCACGCCCATGCCTAAGTTCGCCATAATTTGAGTTCCTCGTCTGCAAACTTGTGCTGTAATACCCAGACCGACAGCCGCCAAGAATTAGAGTTTTAGAAAATTGATGGGAAAGAAAAGATATGCAGAGAAGGACTAGGAACCATAAGTAAAAGGTGCTGCTTCTCTTCTGGTGAGCATTGCGCAAGAAAATCCTCCACCGGTCCGGCCATGGGTCATTAGAGGGAGCGCGGCAACCATGTGTGTGCGCTGGAGGGTATCATGTGAAGTGCACTGAGAGAGTCTAGGTGAGAAGTGAGAGGCGAACCCTTACCATGGCGGCCAGCTCCTTTAAATGAAGTGATGCCCCTTGATTGCGTGAGGCAGAATGTAAGTAAAGCCATAACAACAACTGTAGCCGTTGAGTCTCCTTGTACGGTTGCCATTTGCAAAAACCTGGCTTTCTGAGACCGCTAAATTAGAAAATCAGGAAAGCCGGACACCTTGGGAAAGACTCGCAGCCGAATGGATTGCACATGTCAGAATTGAAGGAGGGCTAGGCGGATGAAGATAGAGGAGGAGCAGAGACATAGAAACCCGCCATAATCAAGTCCTCCTGGTTCCAGAGGGCCAAGCACTGAAAAAGTTAGAAGAGGGAGAGGCGGGCGCTTCTGGAAGCCGCGTAGGGTCGCAGTGTGTGCGACTCAGCAGCCGACTTCCAGCGATGGCCATAATGTAGGGTATGGCCCTTGGAGGTTCCGCGGCTCGCTTGGATCAACTCTCCGAGGCGCACGTTAGAGCGGGTGTCTGATGAGCATTCATAGCCGAAAGACTTGAGAAAGCCGAGAAGTGTGCTGATATATCTACGCAGAGCCGCTAGAATCTACCTACATACAGAGTGCCCCAAGCAAATCACCACCCAAGTGGTGAGGGCCTGGGCGAAGTGGAGTCGCTGGCGAAGCCTGTTGTTGACTTATAAACCATGCGGAAGCTAGCCATAAGGTACTCGTCCCAGAGGCCCATCAAGGTATGGAGTTAGAGGATGCGTAGGAGTGACGGCGGGCCTCATTTCTTTGCCTCACGATTGGAAATGCGGAGACGACGTAGCTTGTTTACAGAGTGGAGAATGTGAAAGATATACACTGCTTCATAAAGTTCGATCCCGACGAAGCAGTTGCTTGCGCCCACTGAGGGGGTTGGGTGCCAGCGGCCGTCTAGAATTTTCCTTGTATGAATGTTGGCGCTCTCTTTCATGCGTGTCCTCGGTGTGCAGGCCATCCAGAGCAACACCCTCCCAGACTGACTCTGACCACACCGGAGGACAAGGAAAGACGCTCCATGACATACTTCGCAGGCTCTAAGAGTATGAAGCTCTTGAATGAACTCGTAGGCCCCAAAAGTAAGACAGCCGGCGTGCGTTTGTTACTTCCGAAGCGGATAGTCGCTGCCACAGCCTTGAAGAACGCTCGTGGATTAAAATGGTGGTTGGCTTCCTGGACATATTAGAGATGCGGATAACGATGTCGCCGACTGGAGGGAGCGCCCTTGGCGGCCCTTCTTTTGAAGAGTGACGCTAAGTCTTTCAGATGCCATAATTAAAGACATGTCGGAGCATCTGTCCAAAGATGCACTTCTTCGGGCCGCCGGAAGGACATGATTGCTCCGCATACCACGCTATTCGTTCGAATACTGTCTTTTTCTCCCAGGCGATAAACGAGTCCGTGCAGGTTTCTCGGATTAGAAGAAGTGCGGAGAGGCACTGTGGTGGGTGGCAGTGGGGACAGCCAAGTCATGGGATAGGGAGGAGGAGGGCGCCACCTGTGGGCATTTAGTGACGTGCGTGAGCAGTGTCACCCCATGCCGGCCAGGGGTTCCCAATGGTCTTGATTGATGCGAATGCGTGGGGCCGTAACTGCTTCCGAGCGTGTTCCAGTGCCGCGTCGATGACTTTATGCGAATTCGTGATAAAACGGGCCCACTTGTCATCGAGATGGGCAGCCCAGTTGATGACTTGGTCCCGGGTTTCCAACTTCATCGCGCTTATCATGACGACGAGGCTGTGAGGAAAGTTATGGAAGGGCATTTTATTCCGCCGCGGGCACTACATTAGTGAAGCCATGTAGTTGGGTTAAGAGTCCCGACTTTACTGGAAGACTGACAGTGCAGCAAGCAAAAAGAAAAAGTATGGAGTACTCATAGAATTGGAGGTGGTGTTTCGCTCCAGAGCGCATCTTTTCGATGATGGCTGCATGCTTCTGCATTGGTGTCGTCTTGGGAACTGCGTCCTCCCATGGGCGAGCGATTCCGCGATACAGCGGCTCGGGGTCGAGCTTGTCGAACGGTTTCTTCACTGTGAAATTTCGGAGGTATTCGAGCGTCGTCGTGTTCTTAGGGATGCACAACGCGTCTGGATCAGTTTGAGAAGCTGGCGGAGAATGAGGAGGAGTCACGCGGCAGGCTTATCTAGAGAGAAGAGGAAGAACGGGACTCCACTGCACCAACATAGTCGGTAGATCCAGGCACGTGGCCATAACAAATTCGCCATGATCTTGCACGTTGACAGAGATGTCGAAGACATGTTTGCAGAACCACCGAAACTCGCCACGCATCCAAGCTGTGGAGATTTCTTTATTCAGCTGGATCCCCCAGTGGAAGTGGTCATTGTGCGGCTCGCCTGGATAATCCTTCGGATCCCATGGCACGTAGGAGTTTAGCGAGCGCGACTCCTCCTGTTCTTCCCGTTTCATGCGCCTCGATCTGATGAAAGATGTGAAGGAGGCGCAGCGACGAACGATAAGAAGGAACAGAGGGCGCGCCCATAAGTGGAATTCTTTCTCGAGAGACATGAGCCGACGGCCAAGCACCGTGCTCCAAATGGGAATTTCGGAAATTAGAGAGGGCACGCAAGTAGATGGGGCAAAGTGTGCTCTTGTTTCAGCCGATGTCTGAGGGGGTGCTTTACGTTTGTGAGCCTTAGCGTATCATAGTCCCACGGAAAAGGCCACGGTCGTTCGCGTTCGAAGATTTGCCGCATCTCGTCGAATATTTCAGCACGAGTAACGTCTTGCATTACCTGCCGTGGACCTCTTGGGAGGATGCCGCCACTTATTACTTCTGCGTCGCCGATGATGCTGTCGAGGTGCGTGGGTGCTTCGCTAGCGTTACTGGCCAGGTCGATGCAAGGACTTGCGCCACCAAGAATCAGAGCACTACTATGCGAGGAGAGACATTCGTCGTACCCGAATGGGTCGCCCATGGAGACATCATGGCTAGACGCGCCACCCTCCTGGTGCCCCGAGGAGACGCCGCTGAGCGTCATGTTCACGTCTTCGGGAATCGGAGGAATACTCGAGAGACCGCTGTTGAAGACGTCTGTGAAGCAGGGGCGCCGCTTCCGGTTCGGATCTTCCTCCCGGAATTTACTGGACTGGCTGCCTTTGAAGCCTTCTGAGAAGCCTCCCTGCTTTTTCTTCGTTTGTGGGTCGTTGCTACAGAGGAGATCGTCCTCCGCATTTGGCTGCGCTTTGTTCTTGCTTGTCGCTTGGTGCGGGGACATTGATGCAGGCACGGCCTTTCGGGCGGTTCTCTTCGTCTTGCTTGATTCGTCGTCAATAGCAGACGCAGCACCAAGAAGAGCCTCCTTGCGGGTGGAATCTCCGGACTGTCCTTGGACGAGAGGAATCCGCGGGCTTTTAGTTCCTATCTCCAGGCCGGTGGAAACCGCTGCGGCTGTCACGCCTCCGAGGCCTCCTGTCATGGAGTGTTTTCCCGGCATGTTGGGAGTCTCGCTCTCGTTGCTTGTCGCGGGGGCTGGTACTGGCCGCCGGAGATCGTGGCCGCGGCGCCTTGGGGTCCATATTAGAGAGCGGGGGCAATGAGAAGAAAAAAAAATAAAGCAGCTTCGCTCTGACGTGAGGGAGGACGCAACAGCATAACACGTCTTGGCCGTCTCTGTATCGCCGCAGGCGATCCCGATTCTCGAGCTCGCGCCTTCGCACTTCTATGGACGGCGTTCGCTCATCCCTATCACTAACATCCGTGTCGGATTCTTCATTGGGAGGCTCCTTCGCGAGAATCTCCTTGACGACGAACGCCCGTTCTGCTTTGCTTGTTTTTGGTACGTGCTTGCTGTCAGGAGCGAACTGCAGGGACGTATTAGAGATTGACTTGCTGACGAGGATGGGACGCGTTTGCCCCACGTTCTGGACTCTCATCAGAAGCGTGGAGCCGCCGCAGTGAGTGCGTATGGTGGTGAAGCTAATTGCTCGGATTGTGCGCAGACGCGTTGCGCGGTTGCGTCATAGCTGCAAATGGGCGAGAACGTGAGTGAACTGATTTGCACGCAAGATAGAAGGAGAATCGATCTGAGAGAAGAGGGAGCCGTAACGAAGTTCAAGGCGGCTCTCATTGACAGGCGACTGTGCTCGGACGTTGTCCGCCGTTTTGGCACAGTGATTAGGAAGCTCCGGCTCGTCTTTCTTCCATTATATCTAGTAGGCAGGCCCTGTCGGATGTCGTCTATTGACTTCTCTACTCGCTTGCCAAAAGTTGTGGTCTCGACAGAAAAGGCGCGACGAGATGCGGAAGGCACAGGGTCGCCAACTGCGCGAAGGCGGACTTTTTCTGCATTTATAATTTTCGACATTTAGCGCAGTACTACTCCAATAAGTACCAGAGAGAAGATGGACCAAGTAAGTTTCTGAAGTACGGAAAGAACTTTTTCTGCATTTATAATTTTCCACATTTAGACCAGTACTACTGGAATGGCTACCAGAGAGAAGATGGAGCAAGTAAGTTTTTGAAGTACGGAAAGAATACAAGAAGACGAGTGATGCTGTGTGCTCCCCTGCACTTGAGCAGCACTCATCGCGAGTCTTCTACAACCATAACATTCCGCAGCAGAGTATTAGAGTGAAACTCGAAGAAGAGAAAATAGCACACATCGACTAGAAGACATCGTAACTGAGTCCTTTTGAGAACTCCCCCTCCTGCGCCACCACGCGACTCCGGTATAGGTCAGAACTTGGCATATTCCCCTTGGGCCTCCTCTCCATCGCTTTCGCGCGTGCCTGCGATGCGGTCTCCTCCTTCCTTGGACGGCCGCGACATCGCTTCGGACAAGCCGTGGTAGACGAGACCGGACCTTTGCGGGGGCGCCCAGCTCTACTCTTTGTGGGTACACCGAGATTGTCGCCATCTTCAGCAGCAGGCAAAAAAAGATTAGAGTTGCTGAGACGAGGAAACTGCCGAAAAGATGTCAGATGGAGAAGAGAGGTGATAAAGAAAGTCTACCTATTTATTGTAGACTTCGTCGAGCGACGACGAAGCACGGGAACGTTAAAAAAAACTAGGAGAGATAGAACATCGCAAAACGATGAAGCATCATCTTCGTCGAGCGACGACGAAGCACGGGAACGTTGAGATAAACTATGAGAGATAGAACATCG